ACCTTTTATCATGTTAGTTTGTCTGTGTTTCGTGTACGTGAATTTTTATCATGTTAGTTTGTCTATGTTTCATGTACGTAAATTTTATCATGTTAGTTTGTCTATGTTTCATGTACGTAAATTTTATCATGTTAGTTTGTCGTACATGAAACACAGACAAACTAATATGATAAAAGGTCATGTACATGAAACACAGACAAACTAATATGATAAAAGGTCATGTACATGAAACACAGGTGAACTTTTATCATGTTAGTTTGTCTGTGTTTCATGTACGTGAATTTTATCATGTTAGTTTGTCTATGTTATTGTTTGTTGTTTTTGGTAGTTTATCTACTATTTGCTTGTTGTTCTTTAGACTGTCTCTATTAACATCGGATACCTCAATAGCCATCTATCGACGGCAAAATAAGGGACACTACGCCTTCTGGTGGCAAATATTTTTATTTACAGTATGTGAAATGTTAGATAAGGCTAGATGAAGACCAAAATATAGCGCTTTGGCGAGTTTCTTCATCCAGACACAAAGACCAAATTTTAAGCTCTTCTGTATGAGGCCATTTGATTACTTCCAATATTTTGGATTTTTTTTTTGTTTTATTGTATAAAACTTTAAGTGTTCTAATGACAGATCTACAATATAATGAACATCTATATAATAAATTATTAGAAGACAGTGAGTTTTGAAACAAACTCTAATTTCGGCTACCTTTCAGTCCACTCCCGTTTCTTATTATCCCTCTTGAGTAAAGAACGCACCAAACACTGATTTAAGGGCTTTCTTGATACAAATATGCTACAATAAGTAGTGATACAACGTACACGAATGAGCATTATCAGTGGTTGAAAAAATAATGTATACATTTCTCTGAAATCTCAAGAATCTCCAACTGTATTTAGGGATAAGGCAGCTCATTTTGTTCTGAGTGTAAGAGATTCAAAATCATACTTGAAAATTGATAAAATTGTTTCATCAAAGATTTTGTTATAAATATCCAACTTTTATAGAAATACAAATGCACAGACTGCTTACTATAAGGAGTCTATCCGATTCTCTCATGCATTTGCACAAATTCTTCACTATTTTTTTTACTATATGATTATATGCATACAATGGTTGAGTACATCATATTAAAACAATTTTGGAGCCTCATCACGTCTTTAAGTCTATGTTATCATTTCTGATCATGTTGTATCTGATGACAGTGCATTTTTTATCAGTTGCCCTGCAGCGTACTTTCCATTGCAAAAAGCTGTCGTAGGCTGTCTTGTCCAAAGTATACTAATCCTCCTTGCGTTTTATGTAATTTATATAGTTTACGAGAACGGCGGTTTCCCAGCATCCGTTTCAACAGTCCGATCGCACGGAAATCCATAGGCGCTACGACTGGCGATTTTACTGGTATGTCTTCGTATGAAACAGCATGAATACCCATTTCATTCTCCAGCTGCTTGACTGGATGTCTTATCTTGGAGAACCTATATCCTGTTGGCCTTCTTTCCAGACAGAGATACTTCTTGATTATGTTGCCACTAACCTTTGTTTTGTCGAAAATCTAGAGCTATTTGTGCTGGTTGTCCCTAATTTTGAAGTAATAAGCTAGAAGTAAGGCAGATCGGCAGCACTATCTACCGATAACTCTTTGGCTACTCTTTATCGTCACATTATAATGCCCCCACGGCTGTAAGGACAAACAAGTTCGGTGACGGGGTTCAATCGCGAAGATTCCTAGTCGAGCGCTCCACAATCAAGCCATATGAGGCCACTAACCTTTCTTTATGTTCATGGATTCTCACTTTGTTCCACAGCTGGGGTACGACTTGTTGCAGGCATCTTTCTGGAACGTTCTGGTGTTCCAAGTTGATTCATATTTCTTTACTTTCCAATGCCACTAAGTACAATGAATACTTTCATCTTAAAAATTTTAAATTCTCGATTATAACACATCTTAATGATTTTAGTGTATCAATATCTTTTGTCGGAAAGGGCAGTTAAATACTCTTGCGGAAATCGATCAGTTTTCGGTGGTATCATACTATCTACACAAAGCTAAACAATGTTAAAAACGTAGTTCTGACACATTCAGTTCCAACCCATTATTTTATCAGCTGGTTGTCAAGTGAGTAGTTGATTTGCACATTCAACATTGTTTCATATAACGTATTCAACCTTCTGCTAATATGATTTAAATATGTTATATGATCTATGAAGTTTATATTGTTAGTCATTTTAGAAAGTATTTTGATAGTTCTAATATCCGGTGAAAATCATATTCTAAGTTTACGTTTTGCTTTGTTTAATTTTAGCTCTTCTTTTATGGTTTAATAAATGATCTTTTTATGATTCTTTCATATCATCGACTTATTTCTTTCTGCCAACAACATTATTTTGTTACTTAGGATTAATATTTGATGATAATTTACTGAGTAGGTGTATGCAGGTACATTTGGAAGGTTTAAGACATTTTATTTGATGAATGTGAGAATACATATACTGTGAGGCGGCGAAAATTACGTATTTCTTAAAATACATAAAATTTAGCTGTAAGATGATTTCAACATCTACATCTAATCAAGAAAGTGTAGAGGTTACCTAATGAAAAGAACCGCCGCAAGTGACGAAAGGAACAGACATGTCTAAGAAGTTATAGTGTCATTCATTGTTCCACATAGCAAATACAGTGGCGTATAGTATGTCGAAAGTGTTTAAAATTTGGCTTACATGGATTCGCCATAAGAGGATATACATGTCCCGAGTTACCATGGTCTTTCAGATATAAGTTTCAGTAAAACCTAACGAACATCCTTATATTTCATTAGGTAGGAAGGATTGTGATCACAAATGTATAAGTGTCGATAGAAATATATATATATATTCATGAGTCCTTTGAATTAACAACATTGCAGAGAAACAGTGTGCAGGAATTAAACATGAAACAACCTTTTCAACATTCCAGCAAATAAATGCAACGGCTGTATGTAGCTGTTAGAAACACGATCTCAGCTATTGATTCCGTGCTCTTGTCAAGGTAAGAATATAGGTATCCTCCAACCGTACATTATCATCCAAGCCAGTTCAAATTAACTTATGTGTCTCGTTTTCATACAAAATCTACAAGACTAACAAGTCTTTAACTTTTCCGACTTGTATCCAAGTTTCTTCTCATTTTTGTAAGGGAAATAAAATAACATTACTAGACACGGTATACAAATTAATAAGTTAGACGGCTTTTCTCTAATGACACAGTAGTTCTAAGTTAGTAAGTTCGTGAAGACATTTACTGTGTTTGGAACACGGGTTATAGCACGTAGAAACAATCCTTATCCTCAAGTAAAGTGTGGTTTGAATAGCAAAAAATCATGAGGGGGAGGGGGATAGTGAATAATAAAATTACATAAGAATAATCGACAAGGAAATTCATCAATAAAATGTGCACAGTATTTTGAAAAGAAAAACCTCTATATAATACAATGCACTTCATTAATGCTTCTTAGTCTTCGTTTGGGATAGCGATGCACTTTTCTGTTCGAATTTTCTTCAACATTTCTATATAAAATGCCTTAAACTAAAACTTATGCTTAGACATATGTATGATAGATACTCACTTTTATTACCTTTTCGGCATATCTCTTACGTTTTTCTTTTGGTTTTTAGTTTGTTGATTTTTCTTTTGTTATGTCACATTGTTACGTACTTATGCTACTGACAGAAATTTCTTTTTCAGTATTTACCGCGTGTCTTGTTTCTTCAAAAACTAAGTTATTTTAATTTTTCTGATAATCAGTAATGTTATTTTAGTACGAGTATACTTACCTTCAAGACATGTGGTACCATTGATATCTTGAACATGAAAGAAACCTTCTTGACAAACACATACGCCATTCACACAATGCGCATGTCCGTTATGGAATTGACATTGTTCAACAGTAGTACATGTCTGGCCCAACTGCTTGCCTGCAAATAGAATATCTACACGAAAGCACATGACTGACCAAGTTGTTAATTTATAAATTTAAATATTACGAAAAAAATTTACGTTGTTGACTCACAGTAGTTGCATATTATGTTATTTGCTCGGAGAACAAACACAGTTTTATAAATAGCACTTAGTGGTTAACCTGTTTACAATATATATATATATATATGGGTTATAATAGTAGGTAAATACACGATACAATGTAAAGTATTCCAAAATAAAGTTTAGATCTGCCATTATGGAAAACAACAAGTTTATTTGGATACAAGTTTCGATACTTTCATGCGTCCTCTTCAGTACAACTTGTTTTTTATTACTGGGTTTATAGTTCACACTGTGAAACATTTCACGCATAACATATCTGATTTAGTGTAAGATAAAGAAAATCTCGTAAGGTATAGAGTTCAAATTACTAAAAAGTAAAAAAAATCTGTATAGTAAATAATTTACTTAAAGCCCGCAAATGGCATAGCGGTAAATCTGAACGGTTATAACACTAATCACTGGGTTTCAGTACCCATGGTGGGCACAGCCAGATAGCCCATTGTGTAGCTTTGCACTTAACTACAAATAAACAAATAAATTGTACTTAAAATTTCCTAATAGTAGAATTAATCTATTCGTTTACTATCAAGATTGCCAACACTTATAACGCTACTATTCGGGGTTCGATTCTCCGCAGTGCTTAAAGCGCAAATAGCCCATTGTGTGGCTTTGAACTAAAAACAACAACAACGACTAAGAGGAAGAACGTAACCCATTTAACGTTAAAAAATAGATAATTAATTCCGTCGCAGGAAATTCGAGCAAGGCTAAACATATTAACTGAAATATTCCTATATTTAGTGATATACAATATACAAAGCATAAGAAGTATAATGCTTCAAGTTATTCAAACCGTTCTTTTTTAACCATCTAATAGAGCAGATTTGTCAGATGGAAGAGTTTAATTCGGTAATTGAAATGATTTCGTCATTCAAAGATCAAGGGTAAAACAGTAAATACTAGATGGTTACCTGAAGCTTAGTTTTGAAAATTTGAAGACAACTATTTGCTATAAATGGTTAGGTAACACATTGAGTGTTATTTACCTCAAATGGAAACAGAAAAAAAGGCAATAAATATACCATAAAAAACGTAGACTTAGAACGTTCATCAAATAACTAGTGTAATGATATAATTAACGCTATTTCTATATCTTTATGGCATGAAATTATGAATTATGTGTTTACTTTTCGTTGTGCTTTATTACTGAGGCTTTAGTAAGACTCGTTTGAATGACGCATACAAACATTGCTAGCTAACATATCGTCCAAATAGTATATATAGCTAACTATCAAAGTAGCATCTACAGTTTTAAAAGTCAGACCACACTTATGCGTCTGTTTCTTCGTCTTCGTACAAAACTGAGAGACTGATTTTTACCACGTTTTCTTTCCATTTAAGGATTCCTAGTTTTGTATTGAATTATACCGTAAGGTTTTATCCTCGTTTCATTCTTAAATATTTATTTTGCACTACTAAAAGTCTCAACAATAACTCAAAACCTCGTTATTTTGTTACATTAGGCAGCAAAGAACAACAGAGGTTCAAACTTCATAATTGTGTTCAGCATCATTCTTGAACGACTTTACAAATTATATAGATAATATATGCCGGAAACCATTACCAATCCAATAATCATAGAAGGATATACAGATCAAAGTAGTAACGGTATTATTATAGACACTCTCCTAATGCTTAAAAATCCCTGAAGGATCACATAAAGAATGCAGTGTTAAAAATATAATAGGGCTAACACTAATGTTTTATGACAGGTATAATTAATTATAATCATGCCTCTCCAGCTTCTAAAAGGCGTTTACATAATAAAAAATATAGTCTTTAGCTCATGCATCTAAGCCTAGAAAAAAAATGTAGTTTCAAATCAAATATGCTGAATGCGAGCAAAATACATTTGTTACACTTATCATAAATGTCAATATAAATTTATTATTCGTACAATTGTTTTATCTTAAGAATTCGTTCATCAGATAAAGTTCACAAAGTAGATTTATTTTGTAACAAACATGATAAATTGTGTTAGAGATAAAACTGCTTAGACCTTTTATTTTCGCTTTCAGTTATAAGCCTATCACGCAACTTTGCATTTAAAGTAAAAAAAAGTTATTTATTTCTTGGATTTCCGTTGGAAATATGTCGCAAGTTTGTTTACAAAAATTTTATATTTCCATTTTGTCCCCCAGAAAAGTAAAAAAAAAAAAACAACACAAATGCAATCCATGTGGTGCTTACGCTACAATAAGAACACGATTGATTGCAGAATTTCTCCATGTGAGCTTCCACACCTGGAAATGACGCTCTTTCTTTCTGTACCCCATAAATTACTTTTCAAACAAACGAATATACCGGAAAGGCCAAAGGTCAGATTTTATTATGTAGACGGAACTACGATGGTTTCCTTCATTCTATATTCTCATAACATCCTTGATTATCATATACAGTAAACACGGAAGTCTTTAATTGTTGAGTAAATGACATTTGTTCGTATAAAATATTGATACGAATTCAAGATTTATGTAATAGAGATTAATTCAATAATGAAGTTAAGTGTTCTTTAACCAGCACAACGAACCATCCCGAGAAATGAGTTCATGGTGTTCCCTAATAATATACTATTGATTATTAATATAAAGGAAATTTACTTTTTATGTCACGCCAAGTGTTTTAAAACAATATTTATGCGATAAAGTTTATAGCAAGGCCGTTCCTCTTTTGGTAACCATGATAAATTGTCTCTAGCATTTATGAAGCACTCAAATGACGCTTCTTTAACAATGTTGTAAAGCTGTACAAGTAACTAATGATGCAAATAAAGATTCATAAATGATGAAAATAAAACTTGAATAAAAGTATAAACATATGTTCAGTTATGAGAAAAAAAAAGGTTGCATTGAAGATGAAGTCAGAAATTCTGTGATGATACCAATCATTTCAATAATGATAGAGATTGAGTTTTGATACAAGTGTTAGTTAAACAGCAACCATTGGATTAAGTATGGTGATAAAAATGTATTTAATAGTGCAAAAAATTGCAATTATTATTGAGCTGATATTGATGATTGTTTGTTTGTTGTTAAGCGCAAATCTATACAATTTTACATTTGAGCTATGTCAACCGTAAGGATCTAACCTTGAATTTTAGTATTATAAAACCTCAAGCTTACCGTTAAGCCATCGGAAAGATAACATAAGTTATGATGCGTAGATGACAATGTGGATGTCAATACAAATAAATGTTATAAATGTTGAAAACGTTTTAGTGAATGATATTAAGGTATGGAAAATAAAAGAAGTAAAGAATGCACGAAACTTGATGATTTCTATAAGGAACGTAGATAAAAAAATAGATCTATGTTTTAAAGTAGAGCCTATGTATGATCAGTCATAATTCAGTTTATAAACGCCAATTAATCAAATATTAATAACAGACAATTACTTTTCAAGGTTATATTTGTCTTCAAGTTCCTCAAATCTTAACACACAAACAATCAGTAATAATTTTATGAGTATTTGTCCACTTTTTTATACTTGGATATAACATGTGTTATGATAACAAATTTACTACATTACATAAATAGCATGAAATACACAAACTAAAGGAAGATTTTCTTTTACTGTTAAATTTCTTTCCAAATACTGACGAAGTTAGATCCACGTGTAATATCATTTAATTTAAAAACCTAAGAACGCGGAGAAGCCCTGAACTATACAGAGGATTGAGTGTGTAATATCAAAATTAATTTGAATATGAAATCAGCAAGTCACGTGACAATCACAACCGATGTAAAGTCGCAAGTTGACGGAAAGTATCAGAACTATATTTCGACATTGTTTGGCGTTCGTAAGTAGTGTGATGTCACAGAAAAGTGATAGCAGTTGAGAAGGGTATGTAACGGCTTTTTCCGACTCAAAATATTCAAACACTTAGACCATAAAAATGTGTTTAAATCGATAATTGAAAATTTTCATGAAGGGAATATTCCTTGTACTTAATGGCATTGAAATCCAAAGGACTACGGATCAAATTGGAAAAATAGAATTATCCTGAAAGGGACCTACAAGAAGTCCTTCTACAGTTGTGCTAAGCATAGTAAGGCGTCTTGTAACAGATGAGAATCCAGGAACATAAAAGTTAGAGGTACAAGTTGTTCACGTGGCCCAGGCAAATGTACGCAATACAATCATAAAGGACCTTTGTCTGTACACAAGTTGCTTCTACGATATATACATTCAACCGTCCATAACTGAAACAGATGGAGAATGAGATAGGTATTCCTGATATTCCATAGAAAACAAGCGCTGGGAAACCGTCGTCCTCGTACACTATTGAATTATGGAAAACATGAGGTAAGGGGTAGTTTATTTTGAACATGACAGTCTAAAAACGGAACTTTTTGCAATGGAAACTACACTGTAGGACGATTGTTAAGATGCACGGTCGTCAGATAGAGCGTGACCGGAAGTGGTAACATTAGCCGTAACTGTGTGGTGAGGAACTAAAATCTTTTTAGTATAAAGTAGTCAACCTCTTTAGTTCATGTTTAATTGTATATGAAAATGTCATTCCTAAATTTAGTTGAAACATAGCATTACGTTAAGGGGAATAAAGTTAAAGAGCGTACACATATATTAAACAACTGTCAATATTATAATTTTGAGACTGAACTTGCTTCTTTTTCTCTCTCTCAAGATTATAGGTAAATAGATTTTCGCAATATAGACGGCGCTACGTTCGTTCTACCACTAGGTGTATGGTGTTTATCACAAGAGAACATGATGTTTAGGTGACCTCTTGAAAGAATGTGCCGTAGAAGTCTAATAAAAGTTTACTCTGAAAACTCATAAATGTTTAGTTAGTCTTCATAAAAAGGTTATTGTAGTTTTAGCACATAGCTACACAATGAGCTATCTGCGT